ATGGGCATTTCTCATCGCAGAAGCTTCCAGCCCTGCTTTGACCAGCTCTTGGCAGTCCCTGCTCCTACCTCCCTGCAGGGTACGGACGGGTCTGGTCCCATTGGAGCTTCATCATTAGCTGTGCTCATCAGTCCTGGACATGGAACAGCATGGACAGGGGCTTCTGAGACACTGGACACTGCACAAGGAACCAGAGAGACCCCACTTTTTGAGGATAGTCTCTTTGGGCCTCTTTGTGAGTTTTAAGTGGCCCTCTGATCACTTATAAAGAGCAGCTGTTGTGCTTCAATTTAAAAAGCATGAGTGGGTCTCAGATACAGTACAACAATCCTGACCCTAGGGGCACATGGTGAACTAGGAAGGTCAAAAAGTCTAGTGGTGGAAGATCACAGATGTAGACAGCATTCTGGAATTTTCCATCATTTCCTAGGAAACTTTTCTGACAAGAAAATATGAAAAAAGAAAAAAAAGGTAAGGGTTGGCGCTTGAGACAAAATTGATATGAGAAATGAAGGTGAGGCTCCCTGGTTTCAGGAGGAACTTAATTTGCCTCTAAAGTGACCTGGCTTTCCTATCAGAAGTAAGAATCACGGGTATGAGCACACAATAAAAAGAAGAAAAACTCCAGCACGAGTAACAAGTAATCACAATACAAGAGCAACTCTGTGGCCATGGATTGTTTTTTTTTTTTTTCCTTGCAAGAGAAGAAAATAAGAAAAAATGGAACATGGGAAAAAAGAAAGGAGGAGGAAAGGGAATATGGGAAAAGACAGACAGACAGACACCCTGTGTGTGTTTTGTTGTACAAACACATACACACAGAGAAGGAAAGATAAAGAAGTACAAGTAAGAGAATAGAAAAATGCTCCTGGACATAGCCTTAGTGGCCCAAGTACCACAGAGGGGTGGGTGCTTGCTGCACATGGGAGGGACTCCATACCCCAGATTTTCTGAAAGTGTTTTGATTCTGTGAGATTTCTCTGCATTCAGTCAAGGTGATGCATTCAATGGACAACCACATGCCATTTACTTCCTATGCTCTGTAAAAATGCTTCTGCCCAAACAAAAGTCAGAAATGAGAAAGAATCCTATGTTAGAGTATCTGTCATCATGTTTGGTCCTGAAAGTATGGTAGCCACAGGGATGTCAGGGAAGAAATTGAGATGGCCACTGGGCACTGTGACTTTGAAGATGATCACACCCAGACCCGTGAGCACCCACCCACGTGTTCCACTGGGATGAGGAAGTGCTAACAGCAAAAGAAAACAGCATGAAAACCTCTTATGAAACATAAGGACTCCTCTGCCATGTGATATCAAATCAGCTCGGAGTCTTTGCTGCTTTTATCTTTCTACCTGTCCCCTTGGCTGGGTGACTACAGCTGACCTTCCAAGGCTGATCAAACCTTAGTGAACAATCAATACTCAAATGCCATATTTATGATCAGGGCTCAGCTCTTCCAAAAGGACGAGCCACACAAGAAGCAGCAATTCCTAAAGGCGACTCTAAATTATTCTCAGCAAATGCCAAGGTTTTCTTCCCCACAGCCTTGGGGTTATGGGGAATGCTGATGGTGAGAGGAAAACTGGCTGCCGGAGGTGGTCACAAGCCACCAAGCAGAGGCTAATGTCACAAGACCCAAAGATTCTTTCTCAGTAAGGCCACACAAAGTCTTGTATGTAGAGTTACTATGTAATTTTTCACTCTTTCCTCCCAAATACATGAATACTAGCTGGAGCTTTAGGGTGAGGGTGTAGACCTTCTGTCAACCACGAAGAAGAACTAGAGGATGAGGAACAGTTGGATGATTTCAGTCTGAAATTCTCTTTGGCTCCTAAGTACCACCTTTTAGCCTAAGGGTTTGTCACAGAAGTGAGGGATAGCATTTCTTTCAGCACCAAATCCACATGGTTTGTGTGACTTAAAAAAACAAAACAAAACTGGTCAGAGAAGTGACAGTCAATGATAACAGATATAGTTGATAGAAATTCAAGTAGAAATTTCAAAAAGGGCTGCTGAATCTTTATTCATTACAAAATCTGTGGATCTCTGGGCCTCTCATTAGGCAACTTGGGTGGTATGTGGTTCTCCCTGGAGGTAACTAAGGTTTTTACTTTACTCTTCTTTAAGGGAGGAATACTGGAGGAGCTCTAGACTTATGCTGCCTAATCGGTCACCACTAGACAAGTGGCCATTAGTGCTTGACATTTGTCTAGTCCAAATTGAGATGTTCAGTGAGAGCAAAAGACACAATGGATTTAGAAGACTCAGTACAAAAAAAGAATGGGACATAGTTCCTTGATGTTTTTTACACCAATTACATGTAAACAAAAATACTGAGTCAAATAAAACATATTATAAAAATGACTTTACCTGTTTTGTGTTACTTCTTGAAATGTGGCTGGTAGAAAATTTAAAGTCATAGACTTTCATCATATTTCTACTAGATAATATTGGTCTATACCTTCTCTACAGAAAAACGCACATCTGCAAATATACATATAGATTGCATTACGTGTCATGTACCCTGTTGACCCTCATGTGAGGACCACTGGGTCCCCAGGTCAATCTCTTATTTGGGGGAGAAAGTAAAGAAAGCTACCAGGAAGGATTTTTGTCATTTCTTTTGAAAGACAACTTTTGTGGTTAAAATTTTTTGTTTTTAAATTACCAAGGCCACAGGGAAAGCCCTTCAAAACCTTCTGGTAATTGGAAAAATCTCACAGGCTTGGGGTGTTTGTAGCAGAATCTCTTAGAGGTTGGACCTACAGGCCTTGGATGGGCTTCTGGGTTCCCATATCATCCACTCAGTATTCTGTAGGGGTGGCTGTAGCCAAGAATTGCATATGCAACCAAATTTTGATTTACCTGATCATTGGTAAGAAGATAAAATACTTATCAGAGCTCTATACAGGCCAAGGGCATTTTCTCTCTGGGTATAGAATACAGTAATATTCCTATCGTTGTTGACCTACCCTAATTCCTCTATATTTAAGTTAATACAAAAGTTTTGTGGGCACAGCTTACTGAAAGAAGAACAGGTGATGTAGGTCGAAAAAGAAAAATAAACATCACTGAGATTAGGAATTCCACAGGGAGAATGAGGCTTCAAAGGTATCCAGAGATTGAGAACTATGTGACTAACAATAGTTCCGGAACAAGGCAGAACAAACCAACTTCTACTTGGTTTTAAAACTCATATCATTTATATCTTTTTCTCAGCCACACAGGAGTACCCAATCTCAAAGACTGTTATTACATGTGACAAGTCACTATGTCTTCCCTAGCTATAAAGCCTGCTTGCTAAAAGACATGGCTACCTGCAAAAAATGGATCCCACTGGCCAAGTGCTCAATGGGATCCGAAAGCTAGAAGGAGCTTTGGGAATTATCCTGCAACACTCTTCACTCAACAGATGGAGTAGCCAGGGCCTCACAAGGGGGTAGCTGGTCAAGGACTCCTGTCCTCTGAGTTGGCGCTCTCCTCATTTCTTCCTGCCTGTTTTCCCTACCCCTAGAGGCTGGCTTTTATAACAGGAAGTGTTGGGTTAAATAAAATATAGGGACATATGCCTGCCTGAAGGTGGGCATCATTTTTCCTGCTTGCTGCCTACTTAGAAACCACCAGATGGAAAATCATTAAAGGTGGTGGAAAAAGGAGAGCAGGTATTCCTCCACCTGCACTCCACACTGAAGCCGACGCGAGGGTGGACAGCAGGACCACGCTCTGTGTTTCAGTGAGTGGTAGCACAATGAGGTGTAAAAGCTCTCATCAAATATGAAAATACAGCTCAGTGAGAAAAAGCTCTCCTTTGTAGCTAGTCTAAGCAGCAGCATGGACATTGTCAGTTGCTTAGAGATGATAAGGTGGCCCATCTGATTGTCTGGGGACACAGGTCACTGCCTGTCATCTCTGCATTATGGATAGTCTGAATACGTTACAAAATTACCCACTGGAAAAATAGCACATTTCCATCATAGTTACAAAAAAAAAAAGAAGCAAACATTTTAAAAACACATGGATTTTAGAACTCATTGGATACCCCTTTCTTTTCTCCCTTTTATTTGTCTTTCTTAATCAGGATTAGCTTGATTTAGCAAATTCCTATGCAGTACTTTTTTGGTTCAAATGATTTATCAAGTGACACCTCATTCCTTACTTGGTATCTGCACACTCTCAGGGGACCCCTGGGAAGGTTATCTACTGAGGATTCACCTCAATCCTTGCACATGGTCTGGTGAGGTTAACAGAAGGGTATAGGCAGTAAGGTACAGTCTACTGCAGCCCCCCACTGTATTTACCACTGGGCTTAAAGAGGATTGAGTTTTTTCTAAAGCTTCCATCCCCTGCAGAACCCACCTAAGGAGCTGACTACTTGCTCTAACCTTGGGGAAATCAGCACAATGGGTATTTTGGTTTCAATGGAAAGAATTCGTGATCTTGGGTTTTCAATTTAGGTCTGCAGTCTCATAAGCAGCTGCCAAAGATTGGCATTTATACCTTGGAGGGGACTTCTGATTTCAGAATTTTAGCCAAAGACCCTAAACACCTGGGTGTACCTCCATGGAGCCCCTTTCTCATGTGGCCCTTGGCAGAACCCAGAAAGTGGAGGCCACTGTGATCTTCCCTAAAATAGAGAGCAGAGACTTCAGCAGAGTTAGAACTTAGTGTTGGGAGTCTCTGGCAGCTGGGATTTTCAAGACCCACTTAAAATAATTTAGATTCTTAAGAAAGCTGGCCTCCTGCTGTTTTCGGGTGCTGAGGCACTTCTCAAAGCCATGCACAGTTCATGCTGAGAGGTCGAGACCAGAAGTCTCAGGGATGTAATATCAACCAGTCCTAACAGGAACTGGTGCTTCCAAACCGGACTCTTCATGAGAGCTGGAGTGAATCAAAGGAAACAAACAAACAAACAAAACAAAACACCGAGTAGATGTAAACTACACCCAGTCTTTACAAAGAAATCACCAAAGAAATCAATCTTTGAAAAACAAGGACAATAAGACTTGGAAAAATTGAATTAAAACTAAGAAACCCTAAAGGTTTCCTTTCGTTCTCTACTTTAGGAGCTTTTGAAGTGTACGCCTACAAGGACACGGGAGGGAAGAATCAGCCTTCAACTTCCACACTGTCAATCAAGGACAAAGACTGTCCTGGAGATGCAACAGCATCCTGATTAAGGAGACTTTGGGTATTGCTTTCGTTATCATTCTTGGACGGAGCAGAGCGTCCTGGGGTTGCCGAGTGTCTGAAGGTGTGTGCCCGGTCCAAATATCGGAGCACTCATCCCCTTAGGTCCTACTACCTCCTCTTTTCTATGTTCGCCATTTCAAGATTTCACCTCTTCGCAGTCTTGGTCGGTGGAAAGTTCTACATCAGACAGTCCCACCTCCATTGCCATAATCAAGGAGATGTCAGAGTCGCTGCTTCCAGCCGGCTCCTGCTCACCTACGAGAACAAGCAAAGTCCATGGTGAGCACTGAGCTCTGCCTCCGCATGCTGCTTATGTGAACAGAATTGCTTTAAAAACATTTCTTTGGAGTCCAAGGGGAATAGTGATCATTCCTTAAACACTCGCATCTCACACTACGCCCCCAAATAAATTCTAAATGGGTCAAAAATTTAAATAATGACAGCAACCCAAACTTAGTAAGGTTGGAAGGAAACCAATCATCTGAGCCTATTTCTAAGTAGGAAAATATATATCGACTGCATCTGCCAGGGAAAGAAAAGTAATTGAATAATTTGCAAAAGAAAAGATCGACAAATGTGCATACATTTTTAAAAATGTTACGAACATATAAAATCCAAAGGCATATGTCAGACTGGTTGGCAAAAAATTTCTCAAAGGATTGTATTCTTAATGATACAAAGCTTTAAGTTCATTAGGAAAAGGGTACAACAGAAAAAATACTCAAAGGTTACATTCACAGAAAAGTGTCATATAAATGACAAATAAATCAAAGGTAAAATGATGAGCTCCTTTTTGCCTATGTAACCTTCACTCTTTAGAAAGATGGTTTTACATTGATGAGTACATTCATAGGTACGTTGGTACACTGATATAGAACTGTGGAATTTTCTTTATTATTTGAGGCATATTTGTACATTTTATGTGGTACATTATGGTAACTGAATATGTGTATACAATGTATATTAATCACATCAAGGCAATGAGCATTTCCATCTCTTCAAATATGAATCATTAAATGACTAGAAGAGTCACTTTGAAACATATCATAGATCATTTTAGCCAATATTTATCCTACTGTGGTACAGAAAAATGAGAAATAATTCCTCCATTCTGCTTTCTGCTGCCCCTTATTGAACTTCTTCCCAATCCCCCTTCTTTCCTGCCCATCTGAGCCTCTAGTAACCACCATTCCATTCCATCCTTCTGCCAGACTGCCTGGTTAGAATTGTGAAATTTAACCTGGAGATTTCATTTCTAGAATGTATTATAAAAAAAAAAATGAAGATGCAAAAAATATTCACTTAAGCATTTTTTATAATAGCAAAAAAAGATATCTCAAAATCCAATAACAGAAAATATCTGAACAATCTATGTTACTTCTAAAGGACAATGTTCTTCTTACAACCATTAAAGTGAAGTTTCCAAAGAATTTGCAGTTACATGTGTAAATGCTTAACAGTATTTTCAGTACAACACTGTAGTGTTAAGTGAAAACAGAAGTACTCAAAGCTCTAAACGCAGTAGGGATGATGGAGAACATTCACTAGAAGCAAGGAAACCAAAAATGCTAATGTGAGTTGTCTCTAGTTTGGGTAGTTACATTCATTTTCTTTAAAAATTTATTTTGAAGTCCTACCTCCTAATATTCTGCAATGGACGCATCTCATGCATTCACTCAGACATTTATTGAGTCCCTATGACAAGCTAAAGAAGGTGCTAGATGGTAGGAATGTGAGAGCAAGACAATCCCTGTCTTCAAGGAACCTATTCTCTGGTTGGCAGGCAGACAATTGCAACATGACAATTGCAACATGGTGTGTCAAGCACTCGGATGGAAGACGTACCAGATGCTGCAGGAGCAGGCGAGAGCGCTACATAACCACATGTCTGGTTGAAGAAGGTATCCCACAGGGTACATTGCCTAAACTGAGTCCCCCAAAATAATCTGCATTTTGGTGGGATGAATAAAATGGAGTAATTTTTTAAGCAATAGTAGTAGCAAGCAGGGATGGCTGGAGGTGACGGGGAGCTCCGGGTATTTAAGTATGTATGACTAGAATGCAGAGTCAAGCTGGGAGTGTGCATGGGGGAGGCTGGCGAGCTGGGCTGCACAGAGGCAGCTTTAAACCCAGAAGGTTTTGTACATTCTGCTGCCCTGCAGAAGAAACATGCAATTAAAAGACCAACAAAAATGTCTAAGTGCTAAAGAATGATGGTAGTTTTAATATGTTTGCTTTGATAACCACTGATATTTTTTTCCATGTTGAGGCCCAGTTAAGGAAAATATATGAGTTTCATGAACGGCAGTGAATTCCTAAGATGCTTTAAAAGCAGACTAATAAAGAGACCTAACAAAGAGTTATGGCCTGAAGACTCAGTTTTAGAGAAATGGAGTGTTTCACAGGGGAATACCAACCCAAAGACTAAGCTCTGATATTTTTCCAAGACCCCTAAGTGCACGAAGCTCCCAGGGACATAATAAGATGAACAGCTAGAGTATAACTTTGGAAGCAGCTTTAGCTTCTTAGAGTTAAAGGATTTAGTATTTGAAAATGGTGGCAGTCTACAAATACATTGAGTCATTTAGAAAAAAGTGAAGCTGTTTGCTTCACAATTCACAACGAAATACTTTCTAGGCCGGACACATGCACTCACAAGCACAGAATAATGAAAACTAGAATCTTTTTTTCTCACATTTTTTATTAGTGCATTATAGTTGTACATAATGATGGGATTTGTTGTTGTATATCTGTACATGCACACAATATAACAATATAATTTGACCAAAAGAAAACTAAAATCTTATTCCTAGAGATAAAAATGAGGACTATACACTGTAGGGAGTTTAATCTTTGTTTCTTCATCTTTTTGTGTATATGCACATTCACACACACACACACTCATACTGGGATGGGAATACCAGGGATTGAACTCAGGGGCACTCGACCACTGAGGCACATCCCTAGCCCTATTTTGCATCTTAGTTACAGACAGGGTCTCACTGAGTTGCTTAGCACCTCGTTGTTGCTGAGGCTGATTTGAAGTTTCTATCCTCCTGTCTCAGCCTCTGGAGGTGCTGGTATTAAAGGCGGAGCCTCCACACCCAGCCATATATATTTTAATATACAAATCTTTCATCTTTATTCTTTGTCTTCAGAGCCAAATGGTGCTTTCAATCTTCGACCTTTGGGGAATTCCTGGTGCAAATTGGGAGGGTTCTCCTTCCCCACGGCTGGCTGCTATCCCAGTAATCTCAGCACACGGTGGCTGGGTGGCCGAGGTAGAGGGCATGCCCTGGGCTGCTCCAGAGCGCACCTTCCCTCTGCTGCCTGTGAGCAGTGGCCCTGGAGGGGCATGTCACAACCTACACGGCCAGACATAGAGGCTTGCTCCGTTTCTCGGCTCTACTGTGTCATTGGCTGCTCATCCCTTTTGTCCAGTCTCCCAGACTTCGTTATTGTTCTTCATTTCCCTGTCCATGTTGGTCTCTGTCTTAAAAAAATAAAACCCCTTTACGAGGTTTTTGAGAGGTTTCAGCAGAGACTGGAAGTAGTTTTGTGTGTTTTATGCACTTTTTAAATTTAATGTTCTTCTTAAGGGTCAT